TTGACATTTTATGACTTCATTGATAGTTCGATTAAAATTCTGTTTGTTTTATTAATTTACTAATATATTTGATTCGCATCTTTTTTTTCTCACATTTTAATAATTCTCTCTCGTTATTATAGAGTCATACCAAAACCAACCATTAATCGAAAACATTTAGTATATGGCTAAAGTCTCCTCATGTAAGAAGGGCCTTATTGTACACACTTGCATTGCATGGATCGTATTTATTTGACATTTTATTGTTAAAAATAATAAGTATTGAAACCATACACTTATATAATATACGATTGCAATCATTGTGTAAGATTTATAATCTGAATCTGAATGAATTGCAATAATCTGGAATAAAATTAATTATATACCAATTAATGCTCTCATAATTAGTGCGATTTAATATTAATAATAGTCTGACTCAACTAGTAAATAATAATAAATAATAATAATAAATTGATCTCTTACTTAAACTTTTGTATAACTATTATTCTAAAACACAATTTGACGAGCGTACACGATAGATAGGGCAAATTTAGTTATCAAATCAATTAAGTTTGTGAACTATATCTATCAATAAAAATCAACAATGTTTTAATTATAATAAAATTATTGAAATTTATAGTTTTTTCCTGTATATTTACGTGAATATAAATATTTAAAAAAACATTCATATTCATTAAGAGAATAAATGTGAGCTCCGACACTTATCTTTCATTAAAATTAATATTCAAAGTTACAAAATATTTATATAAAAAAATAAAGTTTAAGATAATTTTAATCGTAATTGTACCATCTTTATGAAGCAGACTGTACTTACAATGAAATCTCCGAAGTCTCAGTATAATATATATAACAGGTATATATAGTATACCTATATATGTTAGCGACTACACAGCATTAAACAGTTATATTCTGCAGCAGTTGAGAACTGATTACGCTGCAACACGCGGGCGGGATCAATGTGTGGATAAGTGTATGCAGACTTGCATGCATGGAAGATTTGCAATTTAAATATATAACATGAATAATCGTATCATTACATATCGTATCATAAAACAAAGTCGCTGTCGCTGTCTGTCCCTATGTATGCTTAAATCGATTTTGAAGCGATTTTTTTAATAGATAGAGTGATTCAAGAGGAAGGTATAAACCTTCCCGGATATAAATAAATAAATAAGTCCTATCTGTACATTAAATAGTAGACAAATTATCGCTCGGAAGCATAAGTAATTGTGCTATATTTATGAGTATGATACCAAAGTCATTATTATTTATTTATATTGTTATTAGTTCAAAAACGGCGTTACTTTAAATTTCAGAAAGGACACTGTTTGAATTCGGTTTTTTTCAAGTGTATTTTAGGAAGCTTTCAGTATCATTATCATATCAATAGACTGATAAACAAATAAGTTATTATATATTGTTCCGAATACTACGGCTACGAAGTCGTGGGTTCAACTACTTGAAATAGATACGAGTAAATTACTCATATCTATTTTATTGATTCTTATGTTATGTTAATATTGTAGTAAATTAATATTACTAACATCAAATATCTATTAAAAAAATTTTAAAAGAAAATTTTAAAGAGAATTTAAATCATTCCGCACCGACTTGCTCCAGTTTAAAATTGACATTTAACAATGCTGACACATTCTTTCACATTATTCTTGTTTCTAAGCAGAAGGACGGCTTTAGACTAGCTGCTTCAATGCTGTCACAGAACGGATTCACTTTGATCTCACTATTGTGAAAACTGGTAACGATTTCAATAGTCATTGTTTGTTCGTTTTGTTTATTATGGGAACACTAATAATTTTTTCTTTATAATTTTAATACTATTACTTCAGTACATTCATTTTATATAAATTACTGTAATTATGGAGAGTAAACTTTTAATAATGAATAGGAAATGGGTTATCAATTATTTTAATTTATGTTTTTAACTATAATTATTTTGTTATCATGATAAATAAAATAATTATATTTCGCTATATAAATATACATTATATTCCGTGTAAAGGTATTAAAATGTTTTATTGTCTATGTTTCGTGATGAATTATTTTTTATTTTATGTAAATAACATTGTAACACCATTGAATTAAAAAAAAGTCGGCCAGTAAGTATATATAAGTTAATAATAGGCTAGTATAATATAAGAAAAGAGAAGAATATTTCATATAAAAGTGTAAATGTAATACAAAACATAATAATGAATTAACTATTTTAAAACCATAATAAGCAGTAATTACATCAAAAGGGGTAGTACTAGTAGTACTACCCCTTTTAGTAGTAGTAATCTGATGATATGTATGTTAATAAAATGTAAGGTGTAGATATATATTTATATGTATAAAACGTGGGATAAATGAAATAAGAGGTGATTTCAATTAAAGCAACAATCAAAATAAAACATTTCTTCGGTGCTGAATTCTCGTCAAATCAATAATTCCGAAGTATAAAAAAAGGCATCACCTAGCAAATTCAGTCAATATTTAAGCAGTTTTGTAAAAAATGCAGTGTAAGTACAATAAAATTACATTAGAAAACTTTCATCAGTGATTGCTAGAAACTTTTAACAGTTAGTAAGTATCGTCAAGCCTGGGCTTCTATTTATAGGTTCGGCCAATATGGACTCGACATGTCCATTAAGGATTAAAGTACCTAAGGGTAAGGACAAACAAAATAGAGATCTGAAAAAAATATTTTTTCTTTAGACTGTAGAATTTTCAAACTCTTCAAACGATGCGAATGTATTATGGTGCGTAGCAGAGACAAGCTACGCCGTAGCCGATATACTGTAGCCGCTATGGTAACTATTTACTAGATGAGCTATAAAGAGTTCATACATGCCTATATCGCAACAGTAGTGGGGAGTATAGTCTAGCAATCTAGACTAGGAAAGATCTAATAATGTAGGATACATACCCCGCGGTATGTAGGCAAATCGTCAGGAAGAATAATACTGAATTGTAAGCACGGCTCAACGAGGCTACGAGTGATTCAAGAGTTAGTAACAACTTTTCCCAGATTATAAGAATAGCGATTTAAAAAGGGAACGCTTTCAGTATCTAAAGAACACTACCTCACCTGTGACATATTCACATTGAATTACAATGATGTTTTTAATAAAATAAATTGTTTGTAGTAAATAAATTATTTAAGTTTTTTTATTAGAAAAAGCAAAAGAATATACACATGTGTGTATGCGTCAAAAGCATGGAAGTTTGTGAAACGTCTTATTAAATATTATTATAAAAAAAACGTAGGTGCACTCTTTGTTCATATTAATTTTAACTGTTCACTATTTCATATTTATAGTAATTTTGATAGAAAGTGCTACAAAGTTATTTCTTCAGTATTAATACTATAATAATAGCGATTATGATCTAGATAGCTATGTAGGGCTCTGCCCATCATAGTTTCTATATAGTCGCCTCTTTTAGGGCTGCGTGTAGACGCTTGCAGGCCTCTTTAGCTATGATTTAAAACAAAATATTTCATTCATTTTCGTCATTATATTTTCCAGAGTTTATAACAATGATTTTTATTACAACATATTTTGCGGTTAAGAATATTCTATTAGTAATTGAAATAACACAATAAATTTTCTTCAATTTTTGAATACTTAGTAATTAACACTCACGACATAAAACTATTGAGCATTTTTATTTATATAAATATAAATAATTCAGATTTATATCAACGAAAATAAATAAATTTATGACAATTAATATAAATATACACTAAATTATAATATAATTTTATTGATTGTATATAATTTTGTAACATCTATTATGATTTGTTTATGTTATGTAGTGTAATATGTATACTGTCTGTTGAATCATAACTGCAATATTCATAAATATATAATATATATATTTTAAGTGATTAATAAATTACATTTTTATAAGCCCAATTCCGGGAAATTCTGAGTGAAAATACAGCTTCGATTCAATATACAGTATGTCATAAACCAATAATGGTGTACATTCATCTAGTTAGATTTCAAAGGACACTTAGTTTAAGGATAAATAAAAATTGAACACATCGTCAACATTTTTATATATATTTAAAATAGAATATTACCTCTGAATTGATTGATATTACGGAAACAGTGCCACCGAGAATACGGATAATTTATTACCTAATATTTTTTTAAATTGCTAATATTTCCTCTTTGTGGAAGTGAATTTCTAGCATTAAATCATTTTTATATTTATTACCTATTTACAAATTCATTATTCTCATAAAACTTTACATCAAAGGAAACTTGAAGTGAAACAGTCTTTATAAAATTCGATGTTTATACACGACAAAACTTTATATTTTACATTACTTTTAATATATTATATACAAACTTAATTAATATAAATTATATTATATAATCTTAAAGTAATATAGGCAGAATGATTTTAACGGTTTAAAACGTTCGTCCATTACATTAAAATAAAACGCTCACTCATCAAAACATATTTAAGTCATATTTATTATAATATTTTAATTGTAATAATGAATAGGTCTTTCATTTTATTTTATATAATATGTAACAATCTTAAAATAGAATATTTAAGGAAAAAAATTATCAACTGTAAACTGCATAGTATTTGTATGAGAACTAACTAAATTTTTTTTTTAATATACAGGCTATAATAGAACATTGTTTAATTAATGTATAGATATAGAAAGAGATAACGTCATATAAATGTAAAAAATGTACATTTATCAAAGATTCTTAAAATTTAAATAGCGCTTTTTGTAATAAAAGTAAAATATACTCTTTAATAAAATAATAATACGCTAAACGAGTGACGGATATATGTAATTCTGATAACTAATAATGAATATTTATTTAACTATATTAATTACAAAACATATGTAACATACGTGCTGTTTGACAGCAAAGACTAATTGCATCGCTCAAAACCTATACAGCATTATAAATTTTAACTCAGTAGAAGAAGATTCAGTTTCCTTCAACGTAAAGTGGCCTAATATTAGACTAAACGCAGCTTTCTCTTGCATTCGCTAACAACGGCGTCCGTGTGGTGACCACCTCCCTTCGCCTCGACAGCGTACCGCTCGTCACGCTTCGCCTATCCTCCGCCAGTGTCCCAATGCTCTATAGACCAAATTATACCATTAGGGTTGTAAATAATTTATTTTACTTAGAATTTTAACAAACTGCTGGCTTGGGGAGGCTGACTTAAGAAGAGAGGGAGAGAGAGGATTGTTGGTAATGGAGACGTCAGATCGATATCTATAAAGTTTCTCCTGGAAGTTATCCTGTTTAATTCCTGATGAATTCACAATTATGGGCTAATTAATATGCTTATTATCAGCATTGACTATTAAACAGATCTTAGAGTACTATCAAAATATGATAAAATAAAAATATCAAAATAGGCATACACAAAATAGAAGTATAATGTAAATGTAAAATAATCGGAAATCAACTGCCCGCTAGGCAAAATCGGCTCCCTATGTGTCTTTGAGCCGTTACGCATGTAGAGTTGATGAAGAAGAGTGCTAAAGTAGCCAGCCAAATTCCTCAAAATAGAAGTAGATACCTCTAATGCTATAATAATATTTAATCGTAATTGATATTAATTACAAAACATTTTATTAAAAGAACTAATATTTATTAAAGTAAAATTATATATTTTTTTACTAGACAACCCTAGTTTCTTCATTTATTACAATTTGGGCCGGATGCCAAAGAAACCTAAGCAAAATACTTCACCTGAGCATCAGACGCTGGTGTATTCGGGGTGTGGGGTGTGTTTGACCTCACTTCATGTTGTTGCAAACTATGCGTGCTTCTAGATGACCCCACGGGGGGCGACACCACACCCCCGTAAGGTGGCGGCTCGGGAGGCCGTTCCAAGTCACGTGTGCAGTTATAATCTGTATGAAACATAATGTACATTATAATTTTTAACCTATGACTGGAGTTCTTCAACATACGAGTATAAGTTACGCACGTAATGTGCACCCAATGTACATACATAAAAAATCTTGACTTATGCGAACACAATACAACAGTTTGCATCGTGCGTGGAATCGAAACCGCGATCATCGGAAGTAAGGTGGTGTCCTAAGCCGTTAGACCACCAAGCCTGTTAAGTTTTATGTTGCCTTAGCTTAGCTTACATACACGCTTGCTTAGTAACTAAACATAGGTGATAATAATAATCAAGTATGCCACATTTACAAGAATCCTCCTATGTATGAGACTTTGTCTTTTGTTATTAAGATACATTTTCAGCCTCATTTAAGCTTGTACCAGTTTTATTCTACGGATACGGGTCAAAATCCGATAAGGTAGAATGTAATAAGACAGACGATAGCGCCTGATAATTTTTGAGTAATGCCCTCAAAATGTTATATATTCTTGTATTTTTAACAACATAATAAACCGAAAAGTATGCATCGTGAACTAGTGGGTCATTTACGCCGACATTGACTTAAAGATCTTGGGATCGATTGTGGTCGATAATTGGATGTAGTAATTAAAGTATTTACTAACTTTGGCGATAAAAAAAGAGAGCGCAACAGCAATAGGTCATATGATATCCTATGCCATTCGGTATTAAAATTAGCTGAAATAGGTAATGTTGTAATAATCTCTAATCTGTTTGTCCACTTCTCTGATTACTTCTTTTAATTATTTTTATTATATAAATATATAAAACAAAACACAATTCCATTTTCCAATCATTTCCATTATACTAGTTATGATTATATAAATTCAATACGCCGATATTATTATCGAAAGCAATCTTTTAAAAGACAACCGGCAAAGCGACTTATCCTCTACAGTCTAATTGTGAAAATAGGAAATTAGATGATACCAAATTGGCTTTCATATCGACCTATCCAAAGGTCTGGTAAACAAATTTCAAGTCTCTGTCGTAAGGCAAGATTATAATTGTATCTTAAGAATATTTTCCTGAACATTATTGTTTATTTTGAAATGATGTAGTCAAGAATATACAAGTACTTATTGATTAGACATTGATTATTTGATTATTTACTCTGATCTTCCAATAGTTATGTGAAACCTATTAACAAACAAATAGTTTATTAATAGGTTTCACATAACTATAATCTTTTGGTCATGTATTAGCTAAATTCACACACTAAAGTTCTGAAATTTATAACTGGCCGCATAGAATGTTAACATTCTTTTGATTTAAAAAAGAAAAAAAGGGAATATACGCCCGCCGTCTTTTGTTACTATTATTAAAAATGACATATTATTATCCGTATTTAAATGACATAATAATTTTATACTTATACGCATATACGCGATAGAATAGTTCTGGAAAATTACTCCTAAACGAACAGCCTTCTGTGTTTATTCTTATTACAAACTATTTCGGGAGTTCCGTTCGTCATATTTCGCAAGAGACTGTCTCTGTTTTTCTACTATCCGGACGTATTCTTCTATCGGGACCCGGTGTATGAATTGTTGTCTATATTAATGTAGTTTTACATTGAGTATCCTACTTAATTACTCTTAAAACATAATTCAAAATCCCACTTTCGAAGAGATTGATGGATGGGTCATGTGATTAGTTTTAGTAAGCCTCTATAAAGATCTAGGTATAAACCTACTTATTCTTGATGAACTTTTTAGATTGTGTTCCTTAACAAATACACATGAAATAGCCTACCCAACATTGTTAAGTAAGTTTGTCTGCTAATTACAATTGTCAAGAAATTTAGCAGATACGTAACAAGACAGGATCTTTTGTTTCATTCAACATTAGTCACACAGACAGAAGAAGTTAGTCTAAACTAATATTTTAAAGACGAGAATACAAGTAATATGTAATTTAAAAATATTCAAAAATATTAAAACGAGTAAGAAAAAATCGTAGTAGAAATGGATTATTGGTGAGTAATATCAATGCGAATCCAGGCCGGATAGTCAGTTCATTTAATAAAATTAGCTATTTCAAGCTTTACTTATCTGTCGCCTTATACACAAAATAAACGTTACTTGTACATTAATTCAATAAACATCAATTTATCTGAATTTGAACAGTAAACAGTTTAAAGTTCTGAATCCTCATCGGATGGAGAAGTTCTTGATTTAATCCTTTGGACGTAGGTCGGTACTTTATACTGGTACAAACTGATGAGAAATTTGATTTAAAACTGTCCTGCAAGTTGTCGAGCTTTCAAATATTTTTGTGTACTAAATTGAATATTTTAACTTTGAAGTATAGACGACTATTTTGTTGTAATCATATATTTTGTTGTAATCATAAATATATTTACAATAAAGACAAGATTTTTGTAGATGGCGTGAATATATACATGTATTCAAGGAAGATAATATTAATTATTATTAAATAATATATAAATATGTATAAATACTAGTGTCATACATACGATATAGATATATACGACATAAATATAGCAACTGAAATTATGATTAAATAAATACAACTATTTTGTTTTGCGTATTTAAAATATTGTGTTTAATAATTTTATTGTAAGAGTTTAAGTTTAAAATATACAGCAAAAAATGGAATAGACGAAAAAACACTTATGTGTTTCTAATAATAAGCCCTGCAGACAGAGAGATCAATATTACAATATCCTATTCGGTCTACAAGTTTTTTATATCACATTTAAAAAAACTTGAATCCCTTACATCCAGCTACGTTAATATCATTATAATACTACAGTCAAACGTAAAATATAATACGAAAAAAGACTATTATTACCATAATTGTGATTAAATTCAAAACTATTGTGACAAAGGATTTTTCATGAATTCATCATTAAGGCTGTGAAATCAAACTTAAATAGACAGCCGTAATAGTAAATTGTTTCTATTAAAAATAATGAAAAAAGAAATGATTTGGTACCGCTAATAAGAGTAATACCAGGTTACGTTTGTTGAAAGGAAAAATACAGATATTTAAGTTAAGTATAATCTTCAAACGAAACAAAGTTGACGGGAATATTTGTAGGTATTTATAGTATACGAACCAAAAAAACAATATTTTCTAAAGATGAAGTCACGTATAAAATAAAATTGCCCAAGCTATTTGTCTTCCATTTACATTCACGTCGCCCGACTTTATAACTTAAACGGTTAATAATTCGTTTAAAATTTCAATTAAACAGTATCATAATTTATTCGTCCCTAATCCCGCAACGGTAAGACAAATGAAATGTAAATAAATAAACGCCCTTATAGAGCTACGTTAACAAAATATGGAATATATACTGTGAGAAATAACACCGCCGACTACATGTGATATCTACGGAAATAATACAAACTTGAAAATTTAAACAAAACATATATATCGCTTTCAGCAATAACGCCGCCTTACTACAACTATATACGTATATGTGTTCTTTAATATGTTGTCTTTGCCTTTTCTTTCCTGTATGTTACAAATAAAGTATATTGTATCTATATGCAGCAGATTTTTTTTAATACTCCTGAGAATGGGAACTGACTAATTCTAGATGTGAGGTTCCCAAATTTTTTTGTGTCGTAGACCCCTTGCCATATTTTTCGGTTTTGGGTAGACCCCCCATTCTTACCTGGTATTGATTTTTTGTAAATTTCTAACTGTAGTAAAGTTTTGTGTTATAAATATAAAGTAACAAGATGACCGCTGTCGCAGACCCCTTGCAGTTTGTCATAGACCCCTGGAGGTCGATATAGACCACTTTGGGAATCACTGTTCTAGATCATAAACTAAGTTGTTTTCTTGTGTTATAATGATATTTTTTATTACTACAGAATATAATTAAATTTATTTATTTAATAATAAAAGAAGTACTTTGCATTAGTTAAGTTTGAACTGGACTTAATAATGCAGTAGGTTTTTAAATATAATATACAAGACCGATACAAACAATCATACTCATTCATATTAGTACCGTGCGAGGAATCGAACCCGCGACCATCGAAGAAAAGATGTGTCCAATACCACCATCGAGGCTGTCAAATTAAAAAAAGTTTCATTTATACATAATATAATCAATCTAAGCAATAATAAAAGTATTCACATTTGTCAATACAAAACGATTACTTCAGTTTGATAGTGTCAGCAATAGCCGCATGTAGATAATAAACAACAGGGAAATATCTCATATTAACCAATCTTAGTGTATATAGTTTAAATTTACAGCGGTAGGCTATGACAGCATTAACGACTATTAAATCCTGGAGAAATTATACAATAACTAGATTCGTGGTTTACGGACCTACGTAGCGTAATGGATAGTATAATAAATATCCGTCATATTCGTGAACGGGTGCTGCTTGTGGGGTCTGGTCTGTTCAGGTTACGAACACTGATTAGACTTCTTGCTTTTACACTATTGTCCCAAATTTGAATACGAGATTAGTTTCTTGTCAGTTCTTCTCATCTTGAAATTCTGAACTGACGGTAGATTTGACATAATATAATAAGTCATGTAGGTCACATGAATGACTTAGGGCACTCAATTTTCATACATAGTCTGACATATATGGTTTAACTAGCTTTTGCCCGCGGCTTCGCTCGCATTAATTTATCCCCTTAGAGGTGAAATTTATCAAAATTATTTCTTAGAGAATACCTAGTAGCTTGCTAGTATTTCAGTCCAGCCCGATCATTTAAAATTGACCGTCAAGTGGTTCTACCTGGACTGTGTCCAGTTGACTAGATAAATCACTACGTCAGTCACTTTTGAGTTATATATATACATATATACACTGGATTATAGACTATGTTAACAAAGAAACAAATCGCTTACACGATTCAAAATAACTCTAAAAATTCTTCTTTTTATATTTTCTACATTAATAATCTTATATGATAAGCAAAATAGATCTTAATATATAAAAAAATCGTATTACGGTGATTGTCCGCACTAGAATCTGGAACTATTTTGATGATATTTTATACCTACATTTGGTAGATCTGAGAATAAGAATTTTAATTTTTATGATTCGACAATTAAAATACATACAACCAAAAATTTACACCCATGTACCATCAACCCCTATTTTTTAACAGCGAAATTAATTTATATGGCAAAACAACGTTTTCCAGGACAGCTATGGTTATGAAAATCTCAATTAATATTGCGAGAAACTTGATAATCAATAACCGAAATCTTTAAAACAATTACTTGATTTATTGAAGTGAAATATAACCGGTGCCCAATCTGCTCATTTTATTTAAAATTTCTCTTTAATATTTAATCAATATTCATTTGGAAATATAGGTTACCTATTTATTATTCTCTGCCGCAAAATTAAGCTTCACAAAATATTTTACGATAACATTTACAATACTGAGGCTTTGCAGAACTGAGGTCTATAACAAACACAGACATGCCACTAAGCTGTTCGGCTTAAACAGACCCTTGAGAAATCTGTTACAATCTTATTTATAATTTTAATTCTCATAAATCTAAACAAATAGTCAATTCGAATTATGGAGAATAGAACAAATCGAGATATCATATCGTTTTATCGTGAATATAATTATAATAACTATAAAAATTACATATTATATCTGTTATATTTACGAGTGTCCTGTAATGAGTGATCGATTTTTTTACTTAAACTGGTTAACGCAATTACATCTAGATAAAGCGTGAAATGTAATAAAATAGAGTAATGTTAAGATAATAATCATTGACTCATGTATTATCTATCTACTACTATATCTATACTAAGTTATTAACTGATGTATCACTCTCACCTTTTAAGGTGCCAATCGGCTTGCTTTACAAGTTGTGCTTCAGTTATAGAGCGAGATAAAGCAGTAAAATTACAGCATGAAATGCATGATATCGTGATAAGTAGTATCAAATGCATCACATAATGTTATATCCGGACCTATGCTCATATATATAGCTGACAAGAACCATTTAATATTAAGTGGGCAGTAGGTTTGTTAGTAAAGCCATTAAAAAAAATATTATACTAAGATTTTCATAATCAAAACAGACTGATGTTTGTTCCATTGCTCATTGCTATAGCAATTTTCATCATCAAATCTAATGTAATAATTTTAATCTTTATATTAATACTTCATAGTACCTGTAGAATACTATAAACTTCAAATGTCAACGCATATCTAAATATATATATGTAACTTAAAGGTGACTGACGTAGTGATCTATCTACGCACAGCCCAAACCACTGGACGGATCGGGCTGAAATTTGGCATGCAGGTAGATGTTATGACATAGGCATCCGCTAAGAAAGTATTTTGATTAATTCTACCCCCAAAGGGATAAAATAGGAGATGGAAGTTTATATGAAACTTTGTCAATTTTAAACCAATCAGGCTGAGACTTTGCATGCATAAAGCTACTATGACGTAGGCATCGCTTAAGAAAGGATTTTGATAAATTCCACCCCTAAGAGGATAAATTACCGCGAACGAACCCGCGGGCAAAAGCTAGTATAATAATAAAATAGATTTTTAAAATTCGTAGTGGGAAACTTCACATAAAATTCCAGATAAAACCGTACAAACCTTTGCCAAGTGGTACAACATCGGGATTCTTGTCATCAGGCTGCATTGGAGAGTGGTTGTTGCTTTGTATCGTTCCTTTGTAAGCCTTCACAGTTTGTATTGGAGCTAGAAAGGAAAAGGCTTTATGAATAAATGAAGCATGCATTTTACTGCACCTGAAGAGTAAATTATGGTTTTGTCACATATATTATATTGTATAAATAACGCGGTATTTTTTGTTTGTGTGTGAAGAATTGTTATTTATAAATCTTCAGGACTATTACACCTATAAAAAAAATTGTTTTATGTTATATATATGCACACAAAAACTCAGATTTCAACTCAGTTCTCACAAAAACAAAAAAGTCCATTTTGTACCAATCTTTTTTCACAATAACCTTATTATCATTACATAATTATATTGGTAAATTCGAGTGAGGTAAGGCAAATCTTTTAAATATTCATATCAGTTTCATTATTTTTTTTGTTAGTTTAAATTATCGACTTCTGTTGTAATAATAATTATATCACCGATATTAGAATAAAATGTATATAAAACCTCATTCCTAAGTGGTGAATAAATGCTAAAATAGACAAAAGATGTGATCAATATTTAAGCGTTCCACACCCTCCCTTTTTGTATTCGGTAAAATGTAGTAAAACAAACATAAAGTTATAAACGATACATCTTATATTCTTGCAAAGTACAACATGTTTCTGTTATATTAAATTAACTCAGTATAAAATACAAATGAACAAGCATTTTATAACAAAACACACTTGTATCGCAAATGCTAAACAAGCCTTTGTTCAAACAGTATAAAACGAGTGAAGCGTAATTTGAAGTCACCCCCAAGGGTTCAGTATAAATTTTCGACTTTAGTATTTGCTAACACCGGCGCTGGAGCGATACGTGACCTGTGAACATTTGGTATTTATAGCATCTACAGCAAAGAGAGTATACCACGTCTGCACAATGCCAGGACATAGGTTTAGGTACAGATAGCTTCGTGGAGCTATTATGTGACACACTGTACCACGACCACGACGACTTATACACAGTATATAAACGGGATACTAACCATGACAATATCATTTTTGTCCTCTGTGGTCTAGCGGTTTTACACATTGCCTTACTTCGAATGATCGCGGGTTCGATTCCTCGCACGGATTAAATATTTGTATTCTTAAGTATGATTGTTTGTATCTAAACTGTGTGTTTTTTATGTATATTATGTATGTATTTACAGAAAAAATATCTACGTATTTGTATCAGTTATCTAGTACCCACAATACAATCTTTAGCTCGCTTAATTTGGGTGTAGATGGCGCTGTGTGAATTGTCCTGAGATTATTATTATTTATAAGGTCCTTATACAAAAATAATTTGTAACAGCATCGATGTTAAAAGCATTGGAGTTGAATATTAGCAAAGCTAAATAATTAGGCAAAAATGTGCACAATTGTTAAAAAAAAATTATCTTATACTTTTTCTCGTCAGAAGCTAATTACATAAAAATAAATATTTCTTCGTGTTTTTTAGTTATGTCATAAAATATATATTCAGAATTAAGAACATGTTAAGTACATTTGCTATAACGTCAAGTGTAAACAATCTCTGATCATTCTATCCGGAATTACAACATGAATATATTTAAAATTGTGAATAAACCCGACATGAATACTCACAATATGAATGATCACTGTTATTATTTTAAAAATTATATTATTAGAACCAGCTGACCCCGCATGTAATTTAAAATTGCTATTAAAAAATTTGGGTTGATGCTAGAAGGGCGAAAATTTAGAGTTGTATGTTTTTTTCAATGCTAAATCATAATAAAATATTATGTCGAAAAAATATATAGGTGTGGACAAACCTTATCACTTAGAGGTATGAAAAATAGATAGTAGCCGATTTTTACATCTACTGAATATGCATTTAAAATTTCATAATTCGTTCAAGCCGTTTCGGAGGAGTATGGTATACTAACATTTGACACGAGAAAAATTACATATAATATAATGGCTATTCTCATAGAGACTACGAAATACAAAAAAAATATTTATTTATTTATTTTATTTATTTATTTAACTTTAATGCACACAATATAATATATAGTATAGTACATTTGGTGGACTTAACACCATGCGGCATTTTCTACCAGTCAACCATAGGTGGTGCAGAGAATAATTGTTAAATTAAATATGTATTATAAAAGAGTTGACCATTCTTAGTACTAAGAATTACATAAATCTGACTGTACCATAAGTTAAAATATAACGTTGTAGTCCATTACATTACTTTACGGGATTCGTGACAGATAGCGATAAAAATCTATTTCAAGTTCTGAAATACGCATACAATTTTGTACCCCAAAATTCCTAATATCATTTTGCTGTATTATGTAGAGTTGGCCTATTGCTAAATGAATTTCAAATTTCTATAATTTATGCTATACTGTTCCACGACTGTAAATATACTCTACATTTGAATTATATTCTATATTTGAAATCGCTCCCAAAATAGAAGTATTCGAATCTACAGTGTGGTTATGAAGTTGTTATGTATTCAATATTTATTATTATATATTTTACTTGTAACGGTAACGTTACAGATATAGTACAATTTATTAACTTCAGTCAATGGGCTTATGTCATACTAGGAAGTATATTAGAAAGAATCTTTCTATATATATAATACAATAATATTCTACAACTATGAGTCAATAATGTAATTGGAATTTCCCGGACGACGGAGCTGTTACCTCCATACCCAGTAATTTCACTGTCATATCTCATCCCTCTGCTATAACATAATTTACAAAACGAAATTTTGTGTGCACTTTGGTTTGAGAAGGTTTCAGAACCAGCCAACATCTATTTATGTTAAGTTAAATGTTATGTAACCAACTAAACTAAAAGCTAAAAACAAGACTAAATACTTTTTATACAAGTTTTTTTAATTATTTTTTAATGATTCGGCATTAAAATAACATACAACCCTAAACCCTTTTCACTCTTCTATCATCAACCCCCATTTTTTATTAGCGATTTTAATTTACATGTCGTCTACTAGTCATTCTATAATACTAGATATTCATTTTTCTAATATGATGTATAATTTTGTATTCATACAAACTCGCATATTTTCTGTGTAGCTGTGTGAGTGGACGCAGAAGAACTGGATGATATTCGAATTGTTACGTGTCGATTATTTAATACAACGGGAGTTTATCATGCTATTCTGTACTTAGGTCCTAAATACACCAAGCACTAGCCTGGCACAGGCGAATTTATATCGATACAGTAGAATATTTTATCGACAACAAATATTCTATGCATTGTAATATATTTCTAAAATAGTAAGTTTTAAACAGATAAGTTACATTATAACAAACCCCTCATAATGTCTTATATAAGAACATATTTTGGGCTACTACAGCTGTAATGGGTAGGTACAGGGCGACTAGGACAGGTTTTTATTTGGTGACTTTCTTTTATACTTACTTTTTATACTAACAATATTTCTACTTTGTTCAATTAGCCGCCCATAAGAGGATAAGTTTTATGTAATATAATAATTTTGATTTCAATAATTTAGTACATAATATTATTTTTATTTTTATAATCATCGAAATACAAAGCATGTACATTATAATACACAAAATATTATTAAAAATACATATAAATTTCATGAATTCTTATCTCAACAGTACTTTTGAGATGTCATTTTTTGAGTTATGTAAATAGCGTCAAATATAGTTAAAACTTAAAATTAATTATTAGGAACACAAAAATGAAGCATATTTCAATTGATATCCATAACATTGAATATTGTTTGAGTTTTCGGGTTTGCTTTAATTTTTGGTTCCATTTTTAGATAACTGGTATGATAATGGAATTTAAACCAGCTATTTTTTTTATTAATTTATTATTAGGCATGTTTTAATCTGAAGAACTACTTTCATAATACGTTATGTGTTCACAACAATTTGAAAGTTGGTTTAAATTACAGTTACAGCATATGGTTACCCACGATTATAGGTACTGTATTTATGAAGCAAACTGCATAATTTCCAACTGCAATAGAAAACTTGGGAGCATTTCAAAATATAATACAAAATGTTGAACAGCTACATATCATTTCCATACGAGTGTGTTGCGAGGAAACTTAATATAACTGTCGTATACAAGTGACGAAACATCTGCAATTTCAATGGAAATACTGAAAGACATAAATCACGTTTGAAATGCAGTGAATCCGTAGCCGACGCGGTCGGGGCGTAGAAAAATTCAAGTCACGACACGGAATCTGCCTCCATTCCCACTAAGTTCCCTGCCGAACTCATTCCGTTTTATTTGTGGTCTAACAGACTCCTTTATATCACTCTAAGACAATTTACCAGCTATTGCTTTCGAAATTCTATCAGTATAGCCAACGTTATTAACTCACAATGGGTTGGGCAAGACAATGATCGCTTTTGTTGCTTTTTTAAGATCTTTAAAACTTGGAAAGAGTATAGGTTCCTAAACTATATAAAATAAATAAAATCATTTGTAAATTTTAAACAGTTCGAAGAAAGATTAATTTAAAATATTTATATGAAAGCTCTAAATATAACGTGTGTAACATCACATGTTATCTTCTCTCTTTGTGTATACATATTTTTAAACAATAAGATTTAGCGTCAAACATATGTATGATAAAAAACATGATCATATGCTTTATTGTCTTTTGCACTGTGTATTTGAGCAAATAAATTTTTGTTATTATTAAATAATTATACGTAATTTTTACCACTAGCCAAAATACAAAACTAGATTTTTTTCGATTTAATTTTTTTTAATTATTGTAATTTGGTGCATAAAAAGCGAAAACATTATAGGAAATATTTGTATCGTATGAGAAATCAAACTAGTGTGTGCTAAACCGTTACACCATCGAGGCCGTCGAATAATATTTCAAAGTATATTTTTCTTAAAAAACTCTCAATATCTTCCATAAATGTGAATAAAATGATGTCTTGTCTCACCTTCATATTGTAAAGGTCTGTGATGCCGTCTTCTAGCTAATAGAGCAATCACAGCTACCGCGGCTAAGGTACCTCCAGTACCAGCTACGATGCCTAATGCCCAACTAGCATCCATACTCCCACTGTTGATTGTCTTCGCTTCTGTTGAATGCAATACATACCTTAATACTGTTAGAAACATGACTATAGTTTATGATTTATTCTAGTGATAAAACAAAGGCGACTAAAATCCGTCCTGTGTTCAAGTGAATATTACAAAAAAGTATTTGATTTACTGTATGTTTTATCATAATGTATATATTGATAGATTATATATATATTTTTACCTATAGATACATAGCTATGTAATCCACATGGGTACTATCACGAAGTATAGTTGATTAATATAGAAGATAAATGATTGTATTTTTATAACGAGTAAATACAAAATACTTAAGCTGTTTGCGCCTAGTGAGAAGATCTTGATTGTGTAATGAAAATCGGAGATTCCTGGCTAGTTTTTAATTTACTTGATAATAGTTTACAGTGATTGCTTATGATAATGCGTATACGATCGTTGATAGATTCCGAATATGAAAGTATAACGGTTAACATATTGTCTATGGCGCGCTGAAATACCGACGTTTCAGTACTGCATAATACAGCGAAAAATTGTATACTGTATTTTTTAAAGAACATGTAAATCTCTACAATATTTACACCCATGCAAATTAGGTACGTTTGCTAGTACAGAATAAACTGTTAATAAGAGAGAACCAATATTAGAGATTGCGTTACATCGACCATTAGAACTTAATCTGGTAGTCCTCAAATATCTATGCCAATGGTGCTATTAATTACGCAAGAATGGCACGTTTAATATAATTATCATCATTATTTCAGTAATTCAAAGTGTACACTTTCAACAAAATATTTAAGGTTACCGCACCATCCGATAAAATCAAGTTTTTAAATACTAAAACCTTGAAATCTACGAATTACCTTTTTTAAACGCTAATCTCATATTTTAAAGACTTGAAGAAGTTTCTATTAATAACATATTAGTGTTATAAGCTCACTATATTGAATTAAACACTTACATACATAAAAGACATTTACATTCACTAACGCGACCTCTTATCGTGATTAAAGTTAAAGTATTTTTTGAGATATCATCTGTAAGTTACAGGTCGTAGACATAAAATCATATAATACATATACCATTCCATAGTTTTTATTCAAATTAATTAAATCCATTTTCGAATGTTTTTTTGTTTACTATGATCTAGTTTATTCGTGTTTATTATTTAACTATTAACACTAAAAGTACAACTATAAATAATTTATACAGATTAAATAGCGTTCGACATCTTTCCCCTTGGCTCGTATTCTACCTTTACGTAACATTTCAGTCGGGAGAAAGGCAATAAACTTAGCTTGTGTAATATAGAAGTTATACAACTAAATGTATTTTCTCTGAACTGAAGTCAATGCACAGATAATACCACCACTCTGGTTAAAATAATAACGACCTATCATCCTGCTTATAAGACGAGGATTTAGCTTACTATATTAAGCGATAAATTAATATAGAATCAATTAATTTAAAATATTCACATACCCGTATGCAACGCTAATCTGGATAACGTATGCACCCTCAATGTGGTAACTTCTGATCTTCCTCTTGCATTATGAGCGTAGAATATTAATTTCAATGCTTTCCCAGAGCCTAATCCACGGAGCTTCCATATTGGCGTTGGTGTAGAAGCATTCGCTATAAGAGTGCCCGCTTCCCATGCTTCTACGAAGTATATTGTGTGCAATCCGCCATCGTAACCTTTGAATAATTAAATTCCTATTATTTTCTAATTTATATGCGAAAATTTATTTCAGTGATGATAATTGTAGCACAAATAAAACAAATATATATTTGACAACTTTATATTAAATATTTATTTCCTAAAATCCGAATTAATTAATTAATATACGTATATTTTTTTATGTAAGTCATTTTAAAATTAGTAAGCAGTAATAGGACTAAAAGGTAAAACATCCATAAACATGTCAATACAAATCATGATCACACTGGTGGACATAGGGCGGTCCCCATGAAGAGTTGCTAAGGCCTATTTTATTTTGTATTTAATTCGGATACTCATCCATATGAATAAATAACTTATAAACTGTGTTAGTAAAATATTAACATTTTCAATTCATATATCTATGTCGACCTCCAGAGGCACTGAGCCTGTAGCATTGCAATGATGTCCAGTACCTCTGTAGTGGAGAATCCGACATATTTGCTACGATTGTTAAAAGGCTGTTTGTACTTTCCCGAATTCTACCCATCAGTGATACATTTCTTTTCCGCATAATGGCTTAAAAGCCATCAATCCCCGCGTCTGCAAACATCCTTGATGCGCTACAGAACCGAGGGAGCCCCAATAACATCCTAAACCCATTATTATATTATAGGCGAAGAGCGTTGTATCAAGTTTTATTTATGGTTATCTACAGCTTGGTATATTAAGATTTATTTCTCTTATGGTAGACACAATTTAAGTATTTAGTCAGTTTTTACAAATACAGCGGATTCTTTATTAATCGCGAGAAAAAGATTTTTTATAAGTATATTCTAAAAGTATGTAAATTAATATACCTGGTAGACATCTTAATTCTGCTGAATCATCAGTTAAGTTTTGCGCAGTACAATTGAATGGTGGATCTGGTCTTACAGCTGGTAGTAGAGTATACCGGCACGGATTTATTTGTTGTCCAGCAAGGTTCGTAGCTCTACAAGCTAGGGAACCATAGTCAGCTTCTGTTGTTGGAATATAAGTAAGGATGGACCGTCCTGCGCTGTCGATTGTGAACTTGCCCTTATGGAAAAATAATTAGTATTTATAATTATTAGATATGATAGTGAGTATTGAAATCGGCGGAAGTAAGTTTTTCAATTTGTGGTAAGGGATTAAGTATTAGGGACAAGTGATCTCATTGGCAACAATACACTATATCATTAGGTCGACGTCTCTTCAATCATCCCTCAAAATCGTAATTCTACAGGAACGTCATGCATATAATTATTCTATACGTGTTTTCATAATTTAAATACTCATACAGTCCACCGATTCATTACAATATATATTGGATAATGAACAAAATAAACTTTTCTTCATATATCATTAATTTTTAAGGTGTAGGTATAATTGACTTATTATATTCTCGTAAGGCATATATATACATTATTCTTTTAATTCCGCTGTCCATCTTACAAAATTAGATATTGTAGTTTAGAAATTTCAAAAATCTGTTCTAAACGTTTATTACGCACTAAAACTATGCGAAAATATGAAATGTCATATAATTCGGCATCCAGACTATTGTATACATTTTATTCCACCTGCTCAACCAGTAGTCGGTGTACCAAGAAAAAATATAAAAGAATTTGCAACGTAGCGGAACTTTATAGAATTTATGGTTCGCTAGACTTACATACAGTATGAAAGCCGGGAATCGGTCTATATGCAATACCGCATTGAGCGTTAGCTCCTAGCGAGGTGAATTTTTGATCTTAGAATTTTACTGGAGATTATTCCTTTATATTTACAGCAGTTACGTACATCATTCATTTTATTTAATGGTGTTTGATAGTGAAATGCAAGCTTTTAAAAATATACTCAAATAATTTGGAATCGTTCGAAAATTTGTTGATATATAACTATTAAATAAAAGTTAATTCAATATATGAGTTTTAGGATCACATCTCACCATAGATAGTCTAAGTGCATATTTTTTGTTACCGCTATTTGACGGGTAAGTACGTATATGTCAATAAAATCACAGAATACAGAAGGCTTGGTATTTTATTACTCAGCTGACTACAGTAATAAGGTAGGAGCTACAATGTACTATGTACTTATATGTCGTAATGTCCGTGGTTCTGATACAATTTGGGAATATATAATGAACAACATTTATTTAAAAGAGCAATACGCAATTTCCTTGCTCATTCTTCTTGTGATGAATCTGTGTTCCGACGGAGTGGTAAATTAAAAAAATGCAACTATTCAATAATTGCGGTTATTTGAATAAAGATTATTTCTATTTCTGTTTATTTCCATAAGCAATCGTTACCACTTTTCTTCCAGTAAGCTGTGGCAAATAAGTATTCCATTCCAGTAACACACATATTCTCAATAAAAATTATAAACTTTTATTAATAATCTTACCGGTTCCAATTCCACAGTTCCCAATGAATTGTTCAATGTCCATTGAAAATTCTTTGGTGGAGGGAAAGCGTCGACTTCGCATGTCACTTTAGCTGCTTCATTGAATGCGGCGCCAACAATTGCAGTCATTGTGTTCGTGCACACTGGTTTATCTGTTTGGACAATAACACACAATTTCAATCAAATCACATTCATATTTGTTTGTCTAAAATTAAACTAGGAACCTAAACAAAAACAGTTCCTAGAATGTTACTCCTGGTAGCCTTTTAAAAGTTAAAGCCTGCTAACAGTTAATTAACTAGATTTTAAAGTTTTATCGCATATTGATAGTACAGTAGTAATAGTAATGAAAGTGACAACATAATCCTAGTGACTATAAAAAATATGTAGGCTACTACAATTTCATTTACCTAATATTCATGAATAGATCTTACCAATTCCATTCTTAAATTATTTCTAAATAAACAACAAGTAGCAAGTAGAATATTGTAGTACCCAAGAGTATTACACCTTTAAAGTGATCCAAATCGAGTTTAGTCTAAGGAGAGACCTAATAAGGAAGCCACATCCGATCTTATTCAATAAAGTCCTTATTTATCTTCCTCGAACACGAATTACTTTGTTAAATTTATTACGATTTTATTTTGAATTCTTCGTCAAAAGAGTTTTTTAGTTTTATTTAATTTCTGTAGTAATTAGTTGAAGATAAAAGCATTTTATTTCAAAATTAGTATAAAAATTGGCACATAAATTCTATTAGAAACTGAGTTTTTATTAACTATTCTAATGCTGTTGCCGAAGCTGATATTAAATCTTTACTGGATACCTAAAAGAGAGCTGAGGGCACTCCGACCCGCGGAAAGACTGAAGATCATCTCCTGCTTGACTTGATAAACTAAGTTATATGCAATTTTCAATATGAGAATATTCATTTTATTTTATTCGTAAAACGTTCTTATAAAAGACTAAAATAGATAGATATAAATCGCTATTACTAGACTACTACTAGCTATTAGATAGACTTTTTTAGACTAATAAGATGTTTTAAATATAAATGAGCAAGTAATTAGGCGAAAGCCGGTCCAAATTAGGAATCAAACTTTTCTAATGGACGTGTGACGAGATGTGGGTCGAATTTATCGTGTGGTTGGTTATCACAAAGTTGCTCATTTCTAATGGATCTAAATTTATTGTGATTTTTGTCGAGATTACTAATTGTGATCGTATGGTTTATCACTAATATTTGCAAAACTAATTACATATGCTTTTCTAAATACACGGTGTAGTATCAAATTAAAATTCATACAGATAACAGCCACAGTTATACTTTATCTTTTGACGTCATTGAAAGACAAGAAAGTATACTTTGCGTAATTATTGACACGTTTGTCCTGTATGCCCATATAAATGTTGTAATGTCCAGTTAAACTCGTATGGCTATTTAGAACATTAAGGTTAGTAACAAATAAGGAATTGTTAAATCAAATATATACATCAATAGCTCAATCATGCTAATTGTCTGATCCACTAGAGATCTTTTAAAAGTCCAGAAACATAGATAAAAAGCTTTATTGTGATTTTTGTCTTATAGATAAGTATGTGCAAAAGAAGGAAGCACAATATAGTAATTGTGATCTGGAAGACAGTTTGGTAAACAATCGACTTATATTTATAACACTAAAATAACATTTAATCATTTATATAAAATCTTATATGCAACAAATATATGACAGTGAAACAAATTTTAATAATAAATAACCCTCTTTCATCACAAGATTTAATTATGCTTACAAGGAGATCCCAGCCCCGGCTTAAGGAAATATATAAATAAGAATATGTGATTGTTGATATGTAAAAAAAAAAATTGTAAAACATCTATGTCAATGAAATAAATTATTATTATTATTATTATTTGCATTTATATACTTATATGCAAAAATATATGACTGTTTTTTATTCTTTCATGATTTAACGAAACAGAACAAAACAGCTACGATAACCATTTACCATCGAATGAGCCGTATGATTGTTTACCACTATCGTAGTATTAGAAAAAAAAGATCTTACTGAAATTTAACATAATGTTAGATTGTGTGTGGACGGACATCGTTAATTTATCGCCATAGATAATCTCTGCGTCGGTAGTTTAGCATAGATACCGACGGTCGCAGATTCGATTACTTGCTATTTTATATCAGTCTGTATGTTTTATATGTATAATATGTATTCATAGTACCCATAAAACAAGCTCTGCCTAGCTTGGGACTCAATGACGCTGTGTGAATGAGATATAATTAATATTACGATTAACTGGAAACGAAACATACGAAGATGTAGAGAACTGGTTGTAAATCCCTGATATGATCTAAAATAGTGGTTTTTATAATTTTCTTATTATTTGTCTATTATCAATTGGAATGAAGGTAAAATATATTATGAGAACGAGGACACCCATCATTGATCTAGTATATAAATAGAGTATAAACCTTTACAACATAAATATTACAGAGATTTATATTCCAGTACTATTATAACTTTAGTCAATCCGTACAATAATTTGCATGTTACACACACGCCATAGATTCACGGCTTCACACACCATCGGAATCGTAAATTGAATGGCATCCATCGCGCGACACGTTTAAGCAAATGTATGCGGTATCGTATTGCACTTTCATTTCAAACACAAAGCAATGTAAACTGTTGGTTTATTGCATGTCACCTAACTGCAATAAATGTGGATTGCTTTGAACATTCTACTTTGTATGGTATTAATGTTATATTCTACATATAATATATAGTAATATTATGACAGCATTATGTTTTATTTCATCAACTTTAAAAGGGCAAGACTTGTACATTTACACTTCTTATGAACATTTTACGCAATAAATTCTTCAACTCTAAATTAATTTTAACTCATGTAATGACGGGATACACAGTATATTCGTCAATATTGATTATAAGACATTATTTTTTTAAAAATAGCATGTATAAATAGAAATTTGAAGACAATTACAGATAAATGTGCACATATAACTCTTACGTTACCTTATTTTGGCATATTATTGCTATTATTTCCTATTTTATTCCCAAAATACAAGTAATTTCGATTTATAATGTCTGTATACGTTGCCTACTCCCAAAAAGATATGAAGAAATTGATTTATGTCAATAATTTATAAATTTTTAATTCTGATTACTTTTAGAGATAAAAACTTATATTATACTTTAATAATATTTCAAATGCAAAACTCTGTGAGTATGGTTGGATGTTTGTTACTCTTTAACGCAAAAATTACTGAACGGGCTTTTATGAAACTTTACAGTAATATAGCTTTATAATCAGAATAACATATTATATTATTATTACAATTACAATTAAATCTGCCATTTTTATTACTGCAATATGATAACGTAGATCCTGCGATTTACATGTGTAATACTTAAATCAACTGAAACGATAAAAATACATGTCCAAATACATCAGTAATAATACAACAAATGGAAGGGTTAATCCTGTGATGCATGCTCGAAATTAACCCGTACATTGGTTACCATTCGAGTGTGACAGTTCCGTTTAATATCGTTTAATATTTTCATACCACAATAACAATAAAGGTTTATCCAATTTATTAGTTCGCTGTCGAGTCTTGTTTATATTCAATTCAAAACAATTAAAATTGTTAATTGTTTTTGTGGAAAATCCGTTTCGTAGTTTGAAATTATGTATTCTATAAGTTTATTTTATTGTTCTTTATATTAATTGACAGCATTTTGTTAAGTACACCGGTACAAAGTGTTATTATATTTTCTATTTCTTTATATTTTCCTATAACTTTTATTTAATTGTGAAATTGTTATCTTTATTTATACAACGAAGCGTATTATAACATAAATATATTACTAGGAAGATTAATAACAGCGGAGTATGGTGGTACAAAAGGCGGTGGACTTTACTAATAAGAAATATACAAGTAAATACGTCTGGTTAGCATTATTCGTTCAGTTTTATGTATTATTATTTCTAACTAGCTGTAACCGCGATATCGTTCGCGTGGAATTTAACTTTGTTTTTCTAAAATAAAAGTAGCCTAAGTTACTCCTTATTACATCAGCTACCTGCAAAAAAAATAGGTCCAACCATTTCAGAGATTAATCGGAACAGACAGACAAAAATTGTAAAAAATGTTATTTTGGTGTATATACCGTATTTATATTCATATGCATATAGTATAAAACGGTTATTTCAATATTACAAACAGATACTACAATTTTATTTATATGTATACATAAATAATTCATAACTACTAGACATTCATTCTTTCACTTTGTTTGTGGATATATGTGTCATGCGCTTTTGAAGTCGTATATACTTTGATACTATTTTAAGGATTAATATCTATGTATAACCTTATTGAACAAATAGACGAATAAATATACTAAAAAGAGTTTTTTTTTTGTTATTTAACTCTTACGGATTCCTATAAATGTTTAATAAAGCCAAATATACATACATAAAACTTTAAATTATCCACTGATCAAATTTATAGGAATAATATGCAAATAATTCCGATTTCAATTAACGGTTAAAATGAAATTGCTTTTTATACAATTTATCTGTATGAAAATAAAATAATGATAAAAATTGCAGTATAGTTTCAACTTGAAACAATAGGCGGGCTTTATTTTTTTCGTTATGCTAATGGTATTTTCTACTAGCCAACCTTAGGGAGTGCAGAAATACTCAAAGCGATTTGGTTTTATTAAATTAAATATAATTATATTAAATAGATTATACATATTGTCTTGAATTGCACATTCTCGTTTTTTTTCGGGGTTCACACGCTCACGCAGTTAGCACCGGTTGGCGGGAATATTTGAATTTGGAATTAATTGAACGAATGAAATATCTTCTTATTGATCGTTGATTAATACAATGATATGGGAATTGGAAAAGGATGTCAGAACACATACAGTATACAGAGATTTTACATATACGTAATAATATACTACATACAAACATATTATGAGCATACATACATATATATATAAGCGTAATATAATAAGCGTCAACTATATTTTATTTAATGTACGAATAGTAAATGCGGTAAATTTGGAGGAACAAAGTAAAAATAAACGAGTATATTCAGAATTCAATTTGTTTCTATCCAGTTAGGATTGACAAAACAGACAGTGGGCAGATAGATCTACCTATTTGTACAAAAGCCTGTTGCTGAATATTGCTTGAGGCAATAATAGTTCGCGTTCAATTTGCTCGTTTCGGGTTATAATTTCATGAAAACCCCTGCGAATATCAGCCATATTACTATTTTTATTATTAAAACTACAATTGTAATAAAATCTAATATTAATTATTTTATATTATAAACTTTTACAAAATTTACAGGTAATTTCCCTGTTACTACTTGAAAGTATTGTTTAAACACGGGAATCAAATTTTGATTAGCAATTAATATTAAACTAAATATTCCCTAGCTACCCATCCCGGCTTCGCCCGGGTGTACATGTATTATACTTGCAAACCTTCCTCTTGAATCACTCTATCTATTAGAAAAAATCGCTTCAAAATCCGTTGCGTAGTTTTAAAGATTTAAGCATACACAGGGACGGATAGACAGCAACAGCGACTTTGTTTTATACTATGTAATAATGATATTTTTTGTAATTGATAATGGATATAAAATGAATATAATAATTTTTAAACTTTATTGTCTTAGTGGAAATAATATTTATACAATAAAACAATAAATTAAAATTTCTATTAATAGTATTAGACAAAATATCAGTTCTGGAATATAATAATAATAAATGACCATGGACAATTAATACAGCGCCACGTAGTTCCACGATAAGCTGAGCTCGTGTACTAGACAATTGATATAAACATTATATTTACATAGTTTTTATTGTAGTTTGTATCCGAATTCGCATTTTGTTCATGCGAAAAACTATGTGTAAATTTAATGTGTTATAATTACATATTACTATAAAACAATTTGGCACGTACACTATATATAAGTAATGAATTGTTTAATTTGATAAATTATAAATAATAAAAAAAATATGGATTCCATTGTATTATACTAATTATTATAAAATAATAATTTAATGAATTATCCTCAGCCAGCGTCCACAAATATAATATTAAAAATATACTTACAAATGACTTGTAAAATCACAGACTGCGATCTGCCATCGCCCTCCACATTGGATGCAGTGCATGCATACTTCCCCGCTTGCTCTCTCGACACACCTTGCAATGCTAAATGTGCAGAGCCGGCAATTACACCAGCCCTTTGATTGTGCGTCATTAATTGTCCCTATAACAAGCATGGAGGGCATGGTTAATACTAATAGATAGATATTTCTAAATTACGTCATCATCAAAGGGGGATAAAGTCGAAAATTGTTAACTTGGGTAATTGGATAGGAAAGATCGTTTAGAAAAAAATCGTGACGTTAGATTACGGGGCGTATCGGTGCAACCGTGGCAGACTGCCGTTGTAAATGTCGTGACTAAAGAGACAACACTTATATTTTCAATAGATAAGGTATATATCATATGGTCCAATACTGTTATATAAATAATATTAAGTTGCCTGATTTAAAATAAATAAAAAAATACAAAATCTAAAATATGTACATAAGTATTGAAACACAAAAATTGTAAAACTATTAATGAAAATACTTCTATTTACAAAGTATTTGACGTCGCAATACGGACGAGGAGCTTTATAAATGTGTCTTGGACAAAGACGGTGGTAGGAGTCATAAAAGTAGTAATTTACGAATGGCCCCAGAGTACAACAAATAACAAATGCATTAAAAATGTGAATACCTGTAAATAGAAATTAATTATTATATTATAATTATACAATAAATTAAAAATGTCAACAAACAATCAATCATATCATACGACTACGACTGATTTACTTAGTAATTCAACCAGTTGGTTGTATATTTAAAATTTTCTATATTAGGGTAGGTATTTAATTGAATTAGTGCTAGGCGGTAGTTTGTATTCACACACATCAACCTAAAAATGTAGAGTAACAACATTATTTTAAAGATCAACACGCAAGTTTCTTGCACATTCTACTTGTGATGAAACAGCTAACCGAATGAGCAGTAACCTGAAAAAAATTGTGATGACTATTCAAAAGTGCTTCAATGTAAATATATTAGAATAAATTATTTTCTATCTATTATACTTATGTAACTTTATATATCCTTTAATGTAATTGTAAACATCTTCTTCTAAGTTAATTTTATTCAGAGGGTATATAATATATTAGGTTTATAATAGTATATATTAGAGTAGATAGTAAAGCCAAATTACTTACATTATGCTCCCAAACTACTTTATAAGCGGGAGGGTTGGCTCGAACTACACATTCGAAGTACACGTCATCCCCTTCTTCGATATCATTAGGGTTTAGTTTGGAGCCCAGCTGCAGAACTACTATTGGCACATCTGTTACAAAGAAACACAAATATTAGACTTGTTCCGTTTGCTAGTATTCTTTGCCTATTTTCTTTCATTTTCGTTCGTGTTGTTACAGTTTATATTATTTGATATTATTAGGTAAAATGTTATCTTATTTTTGCAGATGTCAATAAGTTTTACAAAATGATACGTTTGAACATATGTTTATTGTATTAGTATAATAATAATGAAATATTTAATTGCTTGTTTGGTAATGACAAAAATATCTAAAATAACAATAGATAATTTAAAATCCATAACAATTGTGTGTTTTTAATATTGTTATATTATTTTTTTAAAGTAAAATGGTGTCTTTCTTTCATTGCAAAATATATTACATTAACAAAAAAGAAGTATAACAGCACTCGTGCAAAGAATGAATAAATGGTTAGTTTCGAAATCAGATATTGAAAAAATACATAGACGATCTGGTCTGATCTGGAATGGTAAATAATTATAGTGAGCAAATTGCATTGCGGCGTAAATTCTCGATTCGAGAGAGTCTAATTTTGCTGACGATAAATAAACCTTTCCTTAAATGGCAATATAAAATACGCTATTTATATTCCACTATTTTAATATATTTTTTATTGTGTATAAAAAATATTATTTTTATACCATAAATCGTCCAAGTCTCGGTGTTTTCTGTTGGCTTTGTTTTTTAATATTATAATTTTATCTTTCTTTGAAGTGAAAGTTCAAAGAGTATTCATTCATTGCTACATATTTTTTATTTTCTGCAGTAGGATTAAATTAGATTTCAAAGATGAACCTTTTAAATATTTATTTATTTTTTTCATTTTGTTCAATCGATCAATAAGTAATTTGGAATATATTTAGTATTTGGGATAAAATAAAGGCAATTTTTATACCGGTCAGTCATTCAATCACTGAAACGGAAATAATAAGTTTTGGTAAAAGAGTACCTACATACCAACATAAGTCTAACTCTATTCAGATCAATTATGATGCCCCAATCACTCGAGCAGCATGCAGCAGCGGGTAAACCAGCATGTACAACTTACAGTGCAAATTTAGAGTCATAGTTGTTTCTAAGGTAGTGTGCTCCAGCTTCATATGCGATGCTCGACATGTAATCACTCGTCCATCGTGCTCCATCCTCGGCGTCCATCTTAGAAATGACACAGTTTCGTTCTTGTCTTCAGAATTCTAAAATAGAAAATCATAAGTTTAATTTTGTAGGTAATAGATACGGCAATTTAGATCTCCGATCTAGATTAGAGTCCAGTCTCCTACAAATCTTTACGAATTTAATTTGTGGCGAAATATATAAATATTAATTTATTCATTCAATCATTGAATGAATTTGACAGGCCAGTTTATTAATAAGTAAGTGGTTACCATCGCCTACATACATAAACACCATTGTCCTGGCGGGGCACTACTAGAGAAAGATAAGATTAGCATGAGGTCAGGTCAGTTAGCCCATTGTGGTAATTTTACCGTGAATAGTTTCCAGGGGGAACCAGGTCACGTATAAATTGACATGAAAGTCAAGCTGACACGGTCCTTTGCTAGCAATAAGGTAATCAGACCACATAACAATCGCCTTCTCCCTGTAATATTATTTATGTATTGTATTACGGGAGACTACGACGTCATGTCTTTATATAATTTAACTGCATTATCTATCTTTAACCGAAACATAGCTTAATAAAATAAAATGGGCACATACTACGATAAAAAAAGGATGAATGATTGTGATTAAAGGTTTGAAGAAAACTACCAATACATAGTTATATTTCAAGCATTTGGTATTTAAACTAATGCGTATTATAATAAATAATAATATTACTTAATGGATTTAAAGAATGGAAAGATAATGTAAGAAATGAAGAACAGGGTGCTCAGGGTGAAAGAAAAAAGGCAGATATTGAATGATATAGAAAATAGACGAGGAAAAATGTCAGGACACTTGATACGGCACGATGAATTTATGAAAGTAATTGTTGAGGGAAAGATAGAAGGAAAGAAGGAAGACCAAGGCACAGATACATCAAGCAAATGAAAGACAGAATTGGAGTCGTTACGTGTCGTGACGTGAGATTTAAAGAGTATGATGGAAGATCGTAGAAAGTGGCAAAAGGTCGATCAACAAGAGCATTGCTCTTAAATTTATGAATAAATGAATGGATATATGTTATTTTATTGAAATCCGACGATATTTGACAATTTGGAATAAAACTAGATAATACAATTATTCATTCAATTTGTTTATTATTATTACTTTACAATATAACATATTGCAACTGACAGTCTCACACGTCATATCACAACATATATGTAAGTCCGAGTCTATATTTATTATTATTATTATCATTTTTTTTAACTTTATTTGTTTAGCTGACATTATTATTTCCTATTAACATATTAACTTCAGCTGCGATTTAGTACAGTAGAAGTTTTCGTAGGGCTAATTGTGTTTCACTGGGTGTTTATTATATATACACATATTTTAATTATTTATATATGATATAGTTTATATATATATTTATATACCTATACATGTATATATTATTTTTATTTATTTATATATTTGCGCATTTATAGATTTATGTATTATTTATCTTTTTTAAACTATTAACTATTGTTTAGCAAGTGCATCATAAGAAATCAGAGTTTCCGGCTTCGTAATGATACTGGTCAACTTGTAAGTCGAAGAAATCAAACGTTCATACTTAAGTATAACATGTTTTTTTTTTGTGAAGTAACACTAATAGGTACCACTTAAAATAAACCCCGTTATAATGTATAATTAAAAAGTTCTATACCTTTTCATTAGTGAATACAATAGGCTTTTGCTTGATTAAAAATCGGAGTAGCAATGCGTGACACCAGTTATATTTTTTATAGCATAGGGTAACTTACGGCTCACCTGACAGTGAGCGAATTACAGGAGTGTTCCCTACCTTTTCGGAATAATAAATTAATAAATAACCCTGGACAATTAACACGACGCCATCTAGTCCCATGGTAAGCATAGCTTGTTATAGTAGACAACTGATAAAATACATAGATATATATTTTTTCGTAAATACATAATATGTTATATACATGGAAAAAACCCAGACCGACACAAACAATCATACTCATGAAAACAATTGTTTGCACCATGCGATGAATCGAATCCACGATCCTCGGAGGTATAGCGGTGTGCTAAACCACTAGACTACCTAGACCGTCAGCACCTTTTCAGAAGGCCCTTTCTGTAAGGTAGAAGTGATTAGAATGGAGAAAGGGCTGCTAACCCCCCACTCATCATGCGAAATGCGAGTATTGGGTTACATTTCCGATTATCCAGATGGCCCATTCGTGTTGCATAACCATAAAAGGTTACTAACTGTTCTACCACTAAATTTTCAAGTAAAGAGAACACCTTAGATATGGTAACTAAAATAAATAAAGATAAATAGATCGGTATAGATAACCTGGCCAACGTAAAACAGTAGCCAAATAGGAGGAAGGATTGTGGGTAATAAAGAGTAGTGATCCATTGCTTGTAATATATCTCAGCTCGAGAAGTATAGTCCACATAGAAACCATAGTATTAATTCGCAACCATCACCTAACAAAATCTAAATCTCACTATCTTCTACTGGCACTCTACTATTTAACACCATTAGAACACATGGGAGCTCTTTTTCTTCATCAAAAAATAGACTAATATAATTTTTATTATAGAAAACATATATTTCTTACAGTGGGGTGTTAATGGATTTGTATGTATGGATAGAAACATAAAAATAAATTCGTACCTTTTGAACTCCAGTAGCTATCATTTGTTTATCATCTAATAACCAGGTAATAATGGCAGGCGGCCGAGCTCCCACCGCCCTGCAAGCGAGTTCAGCCTCAACACCTACTGATATAGGTTGCTCTCTCGCTAGTATCTCCACTAGTAATGGCCGTACTGAAATGAAAAACAAAGTTAAACGGTCTGCACACAACCCTAAAATCAAAGGCAGTATCGGTATAGTGATTAGGAACGCCCAGATCACCCCTTGTGTGTTGGCAAAACGGGGCTAATTTCACATCGGCGATGGTTGTGATTTTACTCCAACCATTGCTGTTCCAATATTGTACTTAACCCCCTATATTAAGGACTATATCGTGCGGCATTAGTAATAAAATAATGTAGTGATAATGGTAACAATATTACTGTTAATATAATTATAATAAAGTTAGAAATTATTCCGTAAATTACTTATTGATTTCTTTTAATTACTGGTAGACTATTCCAGTGAATTATAATTCCACTGATATATCTATCACATCATTCCATAAATAAACATACAAATGTGCCTTAAATATAGGACCGATGTAATAATGAGTCTAAACGTAAGAAAGATAAAAATAAAAGCTCTAATGCTTTTCCATTAGCCGCATTAGTAGTTGAAAAGTGTAATAACAAAATACTCACTAAAAGCTGCAAAGACTGGATCGCGAGTCTAGCGTGCATTACAAAATGACATCACGAATTATAATAATGGAGAATAATTTCCTGTTACTGGGATACGGCGTCACGCAGGACAATGTAGCCAAATAAAAACTAATGGTCGCACGGTGGCGCGAGGTGACACAAAAGAATTCCACCGTAAAGCGTCATATTCCGAGATAATCCGTAGTCAGTTTGATCTAGGTTAATCGCGTGGATTTGCGCGGATTCCGCTTTGCAATAAGCGAGAATGAAGATAATGCGAATGTTATGAAAGTTTCGCTATTTGTCGCATATTGAGCACTTGAAGATGTAAGCTGTACAGAGTGGGTAGCGAGGGAAGACTTATAAAATTAGAATACTACAGACTAACTACTACTGAAATAACTTTGTACGTAGTTTTAATAGCTAGAATTATAGTAGTTATTCATATAAACTACTGAATATTGTAGATCAACATTAAATGGAACTAATCGAGAGTCAGTTTAATTTATATTTATCAAATACACTATTGATTCCAAAATCGAATACATAATAGTACTCGTAATATCAGTAAATATAATATTTTTATCTCCTATTTGATATTTTCGTTTAGAATATAAAATGAATGTACATATTACTGGTTAATCAAGTAAAAACAAAATATTGTCTATAACATGGAAATTACTATATGTATAGTCATATATTCCTGTTATTAAAAAAAAACATATACAGTAACAAGAAATATCTACACTGAAATTATAAAGAGGTAAAGTTTATGCGTCTGGGTGTAGAGGGGTAAACTCCGAGGCTAACTGATCCCATTTAGAAAATTATTTTAGTGTTCGATAGTACATTTATCGAGGAAGGAGTGAAGCTGTAATGAAAAATGTTGCAAAAACTGGTAAAGATCGCGGGTCGTCCAGTGTGAATTAAACATAGTGACCAAAAATTTAATTTCATAAGCATTTACTCATTCTATCATCATCTGCTTCTTCCTTATCCCATTTATTTGGGGTTAACATAATATTTTTTCTCTTCCATTCATCCCTTGTCGCAGTCATCTCGTTATTTACTCCCTTACTTACCATATCATTTTTCACACAGTTCATCCATCTCTTTGTCGGCCTTCCTCTGCTCTTATAACTAACTACATTCATATATAACACCTTTCTTAAAACATTATCATTATTGCTACTTATTACATGCCCATACCAAGATACCATTTACTCATTTTATACGGGAGCATTAAGTTCCCCATCATACCATGGAAGAAATAGGATTGTATACTAATATTTCTCCCCATATATTAAAGTTGTTAATCCTAACGTGCAACTACTACTAACTTACTTACTAGTATTAGATTCAATACCGTTTTTGTCCTACATTTTAAGATATTATACAAATTATAGCCGTGCTAAAATATTTTATTCATTTTTCAAACAGTACACACTGCGTAGATATGCGCAAAACATTAATAAGGCAATAATTTTAACCTTCCACCTCAACCCGACCTGACCTTACTTAGACATCCAAGACTGTACTTACCTCATAGTTCATAACAAGCACGTTTGTGATGTAGTGCTCTGTCAGTGTTAATAATACGATAACGCAGTTAGTCGGACAAATGCCAGAGAATCAGGCGGTGTTCACACATACCTACTCAAATTGCTAAAGCATTTGAACTTACAATTGAATTTCCGAATATAAAATACCTTAAGCAGCCATTATCCGCGCTGGATTTCTAAACCCCTTCGTTAAACTTTTACACTTAATAAACATTAATTCAATATTAAGTGTGGAACTTGTAATGAAGGGTTGATAAAATGGAACAATACCTCTCATGAAAGGTCTCTGTTAAAAATAAAATATAAACAACTCAATATTTAAGGACTTATAAAATTATTATTATTAATTATTAGTCGATTATTAAATAAATAGAAATTTTACCTTTATGCAAACCATTTGGCCTTGTGAACCGAGGTGCAGAAAGTTTAGAAATTGTTTTCTGATTTCATTTTTTTTTATTTTATTTTATTTAGATACAAACCGGGGCATGGATATATGATATAATGTTGGATGATGAATAGATAATACAAAAGTACCAGAATGATAAAAGGGAGAGGTAGTCTAATTACTGCATAATTTTTTATTCAGATTTCTTCTTCATTTATATATTTAATTTATTCCTAAATAGCACTCTTTTAATATATATATATATATCTCTTAAATGTATACCATTCTCTTCAAATACAGTTTCGTAATTAATTTGTTTGCAATTATAATAGTTATTAATTTTTATTTTTTATTTCATTTTTTAAATACAAAATCGTTGTAATAGTCACTGAATGAACTGAGTGTGACACTATTGAAATTTCGAAAGCTTTTAAAGTTAACAGAGCATGTAATGTAGTCTTTTCACAATTGTGTTTTATTCATAACTACGACCAGTTTACATTTACCGAGGTATGTTATTGATTTTATGGCTCGCTGGCGGAAATTGTATTTTTTTATTAAATTTATGAAACACTAATTATTTTTCCCGCGATTTATTATACCTATTAAATAATTAGTAACTTCTACATTTAGGAGAGTGGAGTGTAGTGGATTAATAGCTGGTTATTGTTGTGAGTGCTGCCCGACTAAACAAAGAAAGGACCAAATACAAAGTTTTGCTGTGCGATGGACTCTGAAAATATTTTATAGATTTTAGTGCCATAAACAGCCGAAGAAAGAGAGGTGTGGAATTGCTAGCAATCATGAAAGAATTCATAGGAAAGTAAAATGCGATGGCATACTTTATCTAATACACCTTTCGGCAGTCGGTCAAAAGATACGTAGCTAGACTTGCCCCCGTTTCGCACAGCCCATTCGAATTAAATTTAGTACTGAACCCGTCAGTCTCGGCGAAGTTTCGTAAACTTTGTCAGATTGTAAAATTAATTTGATGCTTTTTAAGAATTGTCCTATTATTTCATTTAGTATTTACTGATATTCCCAACTGTATATTATATTCTGGAATTAAGTATTTTTACTGCTTTTTATACAAAACACAGGACAATGCGCAAGAATCATCGATTTTAAAACTAAAAAGAGTTGGATCTATTAGAAATACTTAAATACATTTATTTATAAATACCTAAACAATATTTATAGACATCACCAAGATCAACACCAATACTCATGGTCATGAATAGGTCATGTTCATCAGCGATAATACAGAAATCTAATAGTTAAAGAATTTTTCAAATCAGTGCAGTATTTTTAGAACTTATTCAATAAAAACAAACAATGTAATCCTTATAACAAACATTATTAACAAACAATGTATCCGTATTAATATATTTTACTTTTTAGGATTACAAATATATAGCAGTGAAAGCCTCAACAAAACTAAATCTAATAAATTCACCTAATTGCATTTAAACGTCACATTTAATTCTATAATAGTTTAATGACAATGGGATCAAAGAGAATATAAATCACTGCCTACTACTTTAATTAGTCTGATATTTATTCCGTTGAACAAACGATTGAATATCGAAAATATCCAAATAAAGAACGAAATGGAAATGGACTCATTTCTCTATTATTGTAAATGTTACAATAGAACAAAAATAGACGAACGGGAATGAATCATAACAAAACTGTTGTATTATATCGAGGCATTCTATTTCATGAAATAATAAATGTCTGAAGTTTTTAGTATTGATTTGAGATCGTCGTTGCTTGTTGGTTTAATAACCTGAATTACGCCCAAAAAGTTCTGTGTTCCAATTTGTCTGACAACAAAGAAAAACTATATGAGTCAATTTATATTTTTGATTTGTTCTCCGGTGAAGGGGACACCAATATCATACCAAATATAATCCGAGAGATGGCGTTAGGCTCGCCCCCTAATACGTTCGATTGAAATATGCCCAGCCAAATGTGGACATGTCAAGTGTTGCGTTGACCAAAACATTAACAGTTGACAATACCTCTGACAACCTCACCTGGATTAACAGTCGTGATGTTATATTATTATTGATATTTTTTACTTTCAATTAGACAAACTATTTTCATCTAGCATTTTAGGACAAATAAACAAAACAATTTTCATAATTTTGTACAATTTCGGTGCACCAATTACTTTGATGGTTATAATTAATGTTTTTAAAGAAATTATAAACGCTTCGTTAAGCAATTACAAATTACTCAGTGAATCGTTTATGAGTAGATATTGTTATACTTGAAAGAGGAAATTGCTTTTTGCCAAGTGGACTTTCAGTGTCTATATTTTACGTTATATAGTAGTTATTGTACACTATTGTGTCAGATAACGACCCTCGTTACACGGGTTATACGCCATTGTGCCTCTAACCTTCCACCTCCGACCTCTTAATATAGGCTGACGAAACACTCCATGAGTTATTATTGTACTACATAACCATACTCGCAACAGATACGGAAATCTTGTATAGTTTACGTATGTTTTAACAAATGAGTTGTCTACGTGGGAAGGTTGAATGAAAGCGAAATTGTATTGTGTATATTCAGGGCTGTCTTAAACATATCCTGCATTAGGGTGCAAAAATCAGACCTCCATATATTCTCCATATAATTCGAAATTCGGGAAGGTGGAGATGGAAAATAGAGTTATTAATATTACGGTTATATATATTTTAGTATATATTTTATTGTGGTGTTTTTCACAGCATTTAATTTTGGTAGTTACAAAATTATGTGCAAACAAAGCACATAATTTTGTAACACACAAAAAATATACCACAATGGTAATCAAAATAATTATACAAATACAAGTGTCCAAATATTATCAATCTTTTCTTGTATTAGTTACAAGAAAATATTGATAATATATCAAGTTAGAGAGTAATATATTTTTGAAAGATGATTTTTATGAAAAAGATAAATTTATCGCAATAAAAAGAGGTGGACAGGAGCGATTTGAATGCCATAGAATTCTGCTTGTGGTTGTCTGCTGTGAATATTTGTTTCTCTAGTGAAACCAAAATTTAAAGAATAAAAACTAGTAGAAATGCACTGATATAAAACTAGTATATAAATAATAAAAAATACTAGAAAAATAAAAAAATTGCGAGTATTTTTAAAAATACTCTTTCGTTTTTGTTTTTATTCTTTAAATTTTGATAGTTTCACTTTTCTAATAGCTACGACACAATATGATGTAAATTAATTAAAGAGATTATTATTTCTACTAAATGCCAAAAATTTTCAAACAAACAAAATATTTAAATTTTTTTTTTGATATATGCTCTAAAACCGAATGGTTTAAATTTGTTTTCCCGTGTTTACTCTATACTAATTCTGTCTGTTTATTGATGGACAAAATATAATTAAAATATTAATGAAAAAATATAAAAAATATTACTTACAGTACAATTGTATCTGTACATTGACCCTTAATGGTGGGACCTGCATCGTGTTGTCTGCAGTACACGTGTATACTGCTTCATAATATTCTCTCGTAAGCTTCGGTATCCTCAGCTCCAAGAGACTAAGTCTTGAGCCATCATCGATGGGCTCTAGAGTAGCGATAACTTTGTCATCTCGCCACCAGCGTAGTCTAGGCATTGGTTTACCTGAAAAATAAGCATGATATTTATATTGCCGTTAATTTTTTATTTTTAGTACACATGCTGACTGCCTTATTAAAATGGAAACTATGCCCTATAAATATAAGTATAGTACAAAGGGCAGTACAGCAGAAATTTTTAGTAATTAGTTACTATCTCACCTTTTAAATCAGAATATAGCTTAAGAAAAATGATTGTGCACAGCGATGATACAAAAACACTTGATTAATGTCTCTTTTCTAGTATTATTATACTAGTAAAAGTGTTACATTTTCTTATAGTACCACTTTCATAAAGAGATATAATCATCCTATACAACACAATCAGCCACTTCAAATTCTTATGTAAAAGAAAATATTAAATTAAAAAAAAAAAATGTTTATCTACAATAGATTAAAATAAAAGACAACGTGAATGTAAGGGAAGAGAAAGATCAAAGAAATATGAATAAAATAAACGTAGCAATACATCAAAAGGAAAGGACACCTTCAACTTAGTTATTATTTACGAAATTCTATGAATTCATACAAAGAAGTTCGCTCCATGGCTCATAAAGGTAGCAACTGACCTGTATCAATTCAATGCAATGTGAACGGAGACATGAGCAAATAACATTTAAACACTTTCGTACCTTGTCACAATAACAATTTATTGTTGTTATATAAAAATGTTTAGAGCTGACAATAATATCACTGTAACAAAGTGCCAAAGTGTTATATATGTATATATATATATATATATATTTATGTGATTAGAATAGAAAGCAAGCCAACGACTTTCCTGATGGTAAGTGGATTATCCTGTAATTCACCAACATATCACACTCTTAATCTAAACATGGCTTATAAAATATGGTAGGCAACTCACCGACGTAGAATTTTATAAAGTCTAACTATGCATTCTGCGTATGTGTATTTACATCTAGTGTATAAGCCAAAACAAACAATAAATAGTCTATAGGATATAAGTAACCATTAAAAAAGGTTAATTTATATAATTTATAGCATCCACATCGAGAAGTCAGTTCTATTCTCAATCAGAATATTTTATACGAGACAGTTCTTTAAAATATAATATACTAGCTGTACTCGCGTGAATTTTATAGTCTATGTGTGATTCTGTTGTATAAGCTATACTATCGTTGAAAGAGTAACAAAACTATATTCATCCACACGCACAAACTTCCGCGTTTATAATATCAGTAAAATTCTCTTAATTTTAACGGCCTCTTAAATTTAAGTAGCAATAATGACAATATATGTATCTATAATAATGTCTCCTATTTTACCTCCACTTACAACACAGGTAAGTTTCAAACTCGTGTCTTCTATGTAGGGTCCAGCTACGCCCACCACTTCTTTGTCTAGCTCGTCGAATATTTTGGGCTTTTCTGGTAGTTCTGTGAAAGAAAATTATACATTAACATGTGATTTATTTTCTATTAAATCTAATATAAATTTAAAACATGTTATGACACAAAAGACTTAATTAATGACGGACCGCGAAAATGGTGACATGTAAGAAGAGTGAACTAATTGTGGAACAACTGCTGGTAGTGTGTGGTATCGGAGTCAAGGCCAAAGGGTGTACTCAAGGCCTTTAAATCATCATGAAATAGCCCGGTCGGTGTATCCCGTTTGCTCCTTCCTATTTCTGTAAGTACACATTCTTCTGCTGGTTTCTGGGGATATTCATACCTCTCTCAGGCAGGTGAATAAAATACAAAAGATTTTTTCTGCAATTTAAAGTTGCAATGTACCAAGAACTATTTGTTGTAAATACGTGTACATTAATTTTATTGTAACATATTTTGAGTAATTATATGCCTATTAAATATTTAATTTTATTATCATAATAGTGACAATTTTAAGGTTATATCTACGAGTAAAGTACGTTGTTTAATTTATTTGTCTGATATACATATTGCATTAAATCTTCTTATGTCGAGAATCCATAACCCAATATTACCACACAATAAAAGGACTATAAGGAGAGCTGGTATTGGTTGTACTTGGTACTAAATGTGAGTGTACCTATTATCGTCGTACGTCAGGATTAAGATTAAAATTCATTCCATAATCTTATAATAATAAAAATATATTGTAAAGAACTCAATTGTATGACATAAAAATTAAGAAATACTGTGGAAGTCCCTAGTTCGTAATAAGGCGTAGGGAGCTAGTCTTGATTATACTTCTATGCTTCTTTATGAAAATTGCTTTATTTTTCAATAACATTTAATTTAATTGCAAGTTGTCATGTATTTTATAACAAAGATAAAATATCAAAATAAACAGTTAATTCTACGAATTTCCTACAAATGTTTGTGACATTTGTTACGAACTCGGAATATTAAATTTTGTAATGTAATTATTAATATCAAACAAGTTAAATAAGTAATTACTTACTGATGTACCCTATTACGAGTACATGTTTTATTGTTTTTGTTTATTTTTACATAAGAATTTAGTACATAGACATAAGATATTTATACCCATCCAAATTACTGCGAAATTAGTTTGATTTCCAACAAATGTTTATTTACTATAATATTTTCAGAGGCCATTTTAATGACAAACATAATCATTAGTCATATTAGTACACAGTCATAGTTGTTTTTAATTGTTTCACTTGCTGTTTCGTATTCCGAACTTCCATAGTCTAAGCAGGTTGTATTACCGGCATGCTTACTGAAGCAAAGGGCGCTTGGTAATACTGGCCACAAATAAAAACATGTGGTCACTTAAATTTCGAATTTAGAATTAAAAACAATTGAAAATAAGAACTAGAATAAAAGGGACGCTCCGTAATTTTAACTATATAAAACAAGAAAATTATTTATTTAATTATTACAATGTAATTGTTTTTATGATAATATATACTCTAGAGTGCGTGGCTACTAAACATTACTACACATCGGGACGTTCCTGAGCAAAGGTGAGTAAGTTTGGTTTTAGATTGCTTACTTTGGGGTGTTCGGAGTGTGGAAGACATTCTACCAGGTCGAAATCGTATTTTTACTTCCTTTTCCATTAATTATTTTCTTTTCAATAAATACAGTCCATTCTTTATATTACTTTATAAGGATTTGTAATTCAACACTTACTTTGGTGACAAATATATTTTTAACAACTTTACATGGCCTTTAAATCTACAATACAAATATTAAGATTTTCTTAGTCTTAATATATATATTATATATTAAGACTCTCGCATTCTAAACAATCGAATTAAAATCGCGACAAAGACTTTTCTTAGAGCATTAGTTCTTAGTACATTATAGTGCTTATAGTAATGTCCATACAGAGTAAGTGGTATTATAATGTAACTTGTATCATTTACATGTGGTGTATAAACATATTTTTAGGTGAATTCAATATATAAAGAGATATTTTTTTTCTATTTCAATATATTTTTAATGAACTTATTTACTTTTTTGCTATACTTTATTTTTATATTTCCCTACTTATAACAAAAAACTAAATAATAACTGGGGAATATTTATATGAGGTTCGAGAAAAAAGTAATTACTCTAAAAACCAGTTTAGGCGATATTAAAAAAAATGTGGAGTAATTAAAATGGAAACTATGAAATTCTATTAAATTCTTTTTTGCTATTTTTTATTTTTATATTTCCCTATTTATAGCAAAAAACTAAATAATAACTAGGGAATAATTATGAGGTTCGAGAAGAAAGTAATTACTCTAAAAACCAATACATATTATAGGCGATATTAAAAATAATGTGGAGTAATTAAAATGGAAACTATGAAATTCTATTAAAACATAAACGATATTCAGAGTATCATAATTATACGCTCTATGTTCAAAATTGCCTGCATATTATGTAGAGTATACGTGATTTCACGATGATATTCAGTATAAAGGCAACAAAGTCATTTCGGCATCGTAACCGATGTTGTCAGCAAACCACGAACATCGGAATATCGATTTGATAATGCAAATTGCAGCCTTCATACGTGTTCTTGTTCCGGATTCACAAAGCACCATGATTTTGTTATAGTATATATCGATATACATACAAACATTATATAGTTATCTATACTTAGATATTTTAATTGTGCACAATGTACGTCTGTTAAGTTGATATTATATATTATATAAAAGTTTGAGATTATTATTATTAGCCAATGCTCGATCTGGAATGTTCTAAGTGTTATATAGAATCACGATAACCATGAATAACTAGCGAACGCAGCGAATATACGTCCTATCCGGACCAGACTATTAAATCATTATTTTAAATAATCTAATTCATCCAAATCGATTCAGCTATTTAGGAATAATTTGACAAATATACTGACAGAGACATTAACAATGTTTTTTTGTCTTTGACTAATATTAATCTTCAGGTGGAGTTTGTGCTGAAGTTTGATCCCTATTTAATATAATAAGCGGTTTGAATACATAAAATAAATACAAGATAAAAATTTGATAGGTAGATTGATATATTATTTTGTGATTTGTAAACGATTAAATGTTAATAATACAACAAACGTTGTCTTTATACATTACTAGCTACCCGCCCTGGCTTCGCACGGGTGTACATGTATTATACATATAAACAGAACTTTCATGTTAAATAACTCTACTGCTAAAAACATTAAAATTCATTGCAAAGATATTCTATTCAGATAAAATTTGTTTTTGTTACATTTTGGCAATGAAAAATCGATTCAGTAAACGCAAACGTTCCCGCAACTTGTTAATCTAAGCCACTATGTCAGAATTTCAGCCCTAATCCCGTTGCATCATTTATTTTACTTTAGCGTTGTATTCCTGCGGTGAGCAAGGCTGCCAAAACTTATTAGGGAGAAGTCACCCGCATGTGGCAATCCTGGTACTGAATCAAGTACCACGTATGTACTGTAGAATAAACGCGAATGGATTCAACTTTTTAATATTCTTCATAATGAATATTCAAATTATATGTAAATTTATATAGCTTGCTTCACACGCTGTGCTATGACAATGCAATTAATTGTGACAATGAATTGATCCGATGATTAAGCCTATTTAAAATTTAAAAAGTAATTTCATATATATCCGATATATGAAATTATTTTGTAAATAAAATTTATTATCCTAAATGTAAATAAATTATTATAACTTTCTCTAATACTTTGTAACTACAGTATTGCAGTGAGTATCAGTGTAAACGTAGTACTAGCCGTAAATACGTGTCTCCTCTACTACATTATACCTCAATGGTTGAAAACAACGTTTAGAAACCTAAAAGAGTTTATTCTCTTGCATTAACAAATTACTCTATCTATATTTTTATAGAACAGAACCATCAAAGGTCCCAGTCGAAATGAAACCCGCTGTGATAAATTTAGAGCACGCACGGTGGGGACTGGCCATAATTGAGTTACCCTACATTAAACTTTTTTCCCCTGGACCGTATATTGCTAAAATAAAGGGCTCCCAGAGACGTCCCGGACACAAAATTACTTTAGGCCCAAAGTAATCTTATCGTCGACATTGTGATTTTTTTAGATGACGGGTTTTATGTTTGACAGTTGATTGCATTGAATGAGGTATGATGGTTATTGTTATTCATATTATTAAAATGGCTATGTGTTTGTAGAATATCTGCATTACTCTGTCTTTCAGCGTAGTTGTAAGTTTAGTGTTTCTGTACATAGAAACACGGCTTGTGGTATATCTATGTAATATCTAGTTATCGAATAATGTAATATTTATCTTTATTACATATAATTAAAGTTTTGTACATATGTATAAGCACTTTTATATTTTTTCTATTAGATTCTAATATACGCAGAGGCTCTACGTATATTAGAATCTAATTTTGCTCAAAATAATTTTGATTCAAAGTACCAAAATGGTAGTGGACAAATTGTATAACAGAATAGTTTTGGAAGTCGATAAAAATATCATAGATGGTTATCATTTTAGTATAGGTAGTATTTATTATGCACAACTAACTATTATAACATCAAAGTTAAATCATTTAGTGGTGACGTAGTTAGTTGCCATATGAACAAGGCATGTCAGTCTATATCTATCTGTAATAATTATAAAACGAAATTGAATTGAATAACTGTAATTATTTAGCCATTTAGATGTATAGCTGCACGCTTTCTTTCTTATTATAGAATAAATCATTAGTGTGAAGTGTGTTAACATTGAAGGAGAGAAGATTGCTTCGAGTGGCAGTTGTTAAGAATGAAAGCCACTTGAGTTCATGATTTACTTGGATTAATGCCTCCAGGTTGAAAATTAAAATTTGAATGTTCAATATAGCTATAATATTATATATATATATATAATTAATATAGTAAATAATTATCCTGGACAACTTAATAGGTATTATATAGATGCAAAATAAATATACCTTGTACAGTCACTTTTAAA